GGAACCTGAGCCATCGTCTGGAGGCAGACGTTGACGGGCTCTCTGCACTTCATCTGGCCTGATAGTCCTGGATGAGCCCGTGGACGATCCACGGCGGGAGTTATCGACTTGGACCCTGGGCATATAGAACTCCGATTGCAGCGAGGGATCACCGTTGTAACCTCTTGGTATCCTTCGAACAGCCCCAGGCACGGATGGTTGAAAAGGCGACCTCATAATGACCCGCTCGTCGTCGGCCCTGCTGATGAAATCGTGGATGGTGCTATCGTCCTGGGATCCTCCTATGTTCCAGTTCCCTTGCGATTGTGTTGAGCCTTGTGAGAATTGAGAGAAATTGGAGAGCTGTGAGGGCCCGCTAGAGGACGGTATAACTTCGTCGTCCAGGAAGTCGTCCGCCACCGTGGATGCGTCGAAGCTATCGTGCTCCCCTTCTACTATGCGCCATGAGCTTTCAACCGGAGGCGCCTGCCTCCTGGGTCTTGAGCGGCTCATCCTTGCTCAAACTAATTTAATTTTTATTGAGCTTTCCAGGTGAGAGCCGTCAGAGGAGCTTGATGACTGTTTGGTTCCTGTATCAATGATGCGGTACGTCAACGGTTGCCCGGCCTTGGTGTATAGATCAGAAGTCAGGCAAGACTCGAGGGTGTCCTGAGGCCAAGAGTCGGAAGTTGGAACGCGACCGTGGCCAACGACGTGGCAAGACGCGATTTGATGTGTTGTCTGGTGTTGCCTGATATCGCCGACGCGGTCTCTAGGTACCGGTATGTTGTTGTGGAGCAGAGAGGACGTGAGCACGATTGTGAGCCACGACTGTGAACCACGGCAGTTGGTATTGTTATTCACAAGTGAGTCAAGAGTCCAGCAGGTAATCTTTTCTTTTGACTCGGTGATGAGTATGCAGTTTTGGTAGAGTTTGTGAGCAAATCGTCTACGTATATCCAATTGCGTTAGAGCGATGCCTTCTCTAATGTACTTTGGTGTGTTATTGTAGGTTCCAAGGTTGTTATCACGATAGAATTATCCATATCTGCCTGTAGTGAGTGTGTGGAGACTTGAACCTCCCAGGCCTCCTACAGTAACCCCGTGTGTCCCCCCTCACTTGCCCCAACGTCAGGTGGCCCCTGCAGACGCAGCTCCGACTCGACAGGGGCACGTGAGGGGTCAGGGGTACCAGATACCTAGGTACATAGACCAGCTAAGTTACCTAGGTACCTAGGTACATATTGTGTCTGCTGCGACCCGCACATGCCGAAATGGTCGATCGAAGCTTTGACTTCCAAGGTTGTAGCTGTGACTGTGGGCATGCTTTGGTTCTTGCTCGTCGCAAGTCGTCCCGAAATAGAGTCGGACTATGTCTACTTAATCTAGAGGCTGCGCAATACCGCCATGTTGGGCACCAGGCTTGTGAGAGCCTCATCGCGGTCTCTTAGGCACAGTTATACCTATACCAATACCACATCCCCAGCCGTGCTACGATTGCCTTCCCCAACATGCCATCTCCAGCGCCGGATCCAGCTCCGGCATTGCGCGAGCTGCCCTCCTCCGAAGGATTCCCTCCCCAAACCACCCGCTGACCACCGCGACCTTGGTGTTCAACAAGAGCTCTTCACAACCTCCATATATAGCCCCGGCAGTCCCATCTTCCTCCCAGCCGGTGCCCGCATTTTCAACCGCCTGATCGAGTTCCTCCGCCGAAAATACGTCCGCTATGGCTTCCAGGAGGTTATCACCCCGACCATCTACAAGAAAGCGTTATGGGCCAAGTCGGGCCATCTCGAGAACTATGCCGAGGACATGTTCACCGTGACCAGCACGAGCCCCTCTCGGCGCGACAATGCAGATGGTGAAGCAACCGAGGAGGATGAATACGGCCTGAAGCCGATGAACTGCCCGGGCCACTGCCTCATCTTCGCCGGCCGCCGGCACTCCTACCGCGACCTACCGATCCGATATGCCGACTTCTCGCCACTGCACAGGAACGAGATCTCCGGTGCGCTCAGCGGCCTCACCCGCGTGAGGAGGTTCCACCAGGACGATGGGCACATCTTCTGCCGGCCGTCGCAGATCGAGGAGGAGATACGACGGACGCTCGAGTTCGTCAAAGAGACGTACGATACCTTCAGGCTGGGTCAGTACAGACTGGTTCTGTCCACGAGGCCGGAGGAGCACTACATCGGCTCCCTGGAGGAGTGGGACCAGGCGGAAAGCGCCCTGAAGAGTGCGCTCGACCACGCGGGGCAGGCGTGGACTCTGAACGAGGGGGATGGCGCCTTCTACGGGCCCAAGATCGACATCATCCTCAAGGATTCCGACGGCAAGGAGCACCAGACGGCTACCATCCAGCTCGACTTCCAGCTCCCGAAGAGGTTCGAGCTCGAGTATGAGGCGCCCGCCCCGGAGCTCGAACAGAGGGGTCTGGCCGTCACCGACCCGGCCCAGCAGGCCTTTATGGGCCGGGTACGGCCCGTCATGATCCACAGGGCCGTGCTGGGCTCTATGGAGAGGTTGATGGCGCTCTTGATAGAGCATTACAATGGCAAGTGGCCGTTCTGGCTGAACCCTCGCCAGGTGGCCGTCATCACCGTCAACGATACAGAACCCGTGTTGAAGATGGCGAGGGAGACCGTGGACACCATCCTAGGTACGGCGAGCAGCATGCGAGAGCCAACGGCAGACGGCGAGGCGGCCCCGGCGGAGGTGAGCCATCCCTCGCAGCTGGCTGTTGACCTGGACGACAGCCCTCGCAGCGTGGGCCTGAAGGTCCGCGAGGCGAGGAACAAGGGCTACGGTGCCATTGTGGTGATAGGTCCCAAGAACGTCGAGGCCGGAAGTGTGAGTGTAAACGTCTCTGGCATCCCGTCATTGAAGGACCAGAAGAACGACATACCCATGACAGCGTCAGAGCTGCTCCAGTTCTTGAAGAAGCAAGTAGACACATATCAATAGAAATCAAAAGTTGTGATACCCTCCCCTCTGTTACAGGCTATCTCTACTGTTCAATATTGGTCTTCAATGTCGCAAGTCTTGATCTGGGCTTGACACCTGGCAGTGGTCAATCATTCCCCCTTGTATCAGGAGTCGGACCGACGCCGTGCAATCATCCGAAAGCTTCCAACCTTATGTTGAAACTCTAGGCCCAAGAGAGGGTGGACATAGTAAGCTCATTGAATTGTGAACCTGAGCTAAGATACTGGGAAATGACAATAGAGGAAATGGCCTCATAGTGATAGTCTTCTCACTAGACCAAACGCCCCCGGCGGTTGTCCATTGATAGTTATTGGTTTGCTCAAGCATATGTTTCCTGTTCGGGCTTTTAGCCATCTCCCTGGCCCAAGCTCGTGGCCGTATCTATATATGTCCCTTCATCTGATGTACTTGGCGGCTACCTATGCGCCCCTCCTCCCAAACACCCGAGGAGACGCTTCCAGTGGTAGCAGTTTTCTTGTTCCAACCCGCGGCATGAAACGCTGTACCAAATACCCCCGATCGATCTATGTGATGGATGGCGGGGGTCTATGAGCAGAGGTATAGCCGATGTCCGCTTTGAGGTGAGATCAGAGGGAGTGGTAAGAGCCAGGTGGGAAGAGCTGTACGGACTACTTCTATGTAGCCTCCATTAGTTCGCTTCGTCCACCGACTTGCCACCCCAGCCTGACATCCGGTCCTGACCATCACCCGATGCCCGTCGTGAAGTGAACCACCTTGGGCCTTCTGACCGGTCTTTCACCGGACTCCTCGCCCCTTCTAGCCCTCACCCTTGCTCTTCTCACTCCTCGTCCTCATCACTCCACTGGACCTCCTCCTCTCCCTGCTGGAAGATGACCTTCTCCGCCAGCGCCAACGTCTGTCGCACCGGCAACCCGACCACATTATCCACGCTGCCCTCCAGCTTCTCGATCAAGACCAGCCCGCCGATCCCCTGCACCGCATACCCACCAGCCTTATCGGCGCCCTCCCTCGTCTTCACGTACCTCTCGATAACATCATCCGGCAGCCCGTCGCTCTCCTGCGCAAAGTAGATGACCGTCTCCTCCGTGTGCGCGGCGATCTCGTACCCGGGGTGGCTCGCGTCCGCCTTGGGCGCCAGGCACACCACGGCCGTCAGGACCTTGTGCATCCGGGTGTCCCTCAGGTGCTTGAGCATCCTGACGTGGTCCTGCTCGTTCTTGGGCTTCTCGAGGATGCGCCCGTCGCGCGTGACGATGACCGTGTCGGCGGCGATGACGAGCTCCGGGTCGGCGGGCGGGTCCTTGGACTTGGACTCGACGGCCTTGGCTTGTTCCTCCAGGGCGGACTCGTATACGTCCAGGCACTTCTGTCGCGCCGTGGCGGCCACGTACTCGTAGGGTGTGTTGTCCTTCTTGGAGAGGTCTTCGGGTTTGGAGGAGGGGAGAACCTCTAGGTTCTGGAAGCCGACCTGCAGGTAGGGAGGTAGGTAGGTTAGCGTCGCAAGGAACTGGGGCTTTCTAGCTGCTCGGAGCTGGTAGACGTCTTACCTGTCCCAGGAGGGCTTTCCTCCTAGGTGATGCCGAGGCCAGAATGACCCTCTTGCCCTTGAGGTGTTGTATGATGGGCAGCTCGAACGGCAGCGGTCCCTTGCGCACAGGGGCGCTCTGCCTGAGGCGGATGCCATGATCGCGGGCTGCCTGAATGTAGTCTGGGGCCGGGTCGGAGGGTACGGATGTGTATGCCATTGCGAGGGTGTGATGCTGAAAGGTCAAGCTGCTAGAGAGGATTACTATAGTTGGAAGGTTTCTCGAATTGCGACTTCCTTGCACACGAAGTATTACGTTAAGTACCTAGGTTGGTAGACAATGAGTCTGTCGGTCGGTTAGGGGTACATGACGTCCAGAGGAGCAGTGGGCCCCAGCAACCTTCAGGGGCACTTAGCCCCGGGAACCAGCAGTGGAACCATCCATAGAGCCCTGCCGTTCGTTACCTAGCAATTCAGGGGCAAAGGTTGTACGAACGCGAAGCAAAAAAGACAAAATGATATGTGTTGCGGTGAGTGTGGATTGAACACACGACCTTCAGATATACCTAGGTATTGGACCAGAAGTGAAACTTCAGTCTGACGCTCTCCCAACTGAGCTATCCCCGCTTGTGATACAACGATAAATATTGTATATTATATTGCAATACTCTCGTCGAGCTTTGGATGTAGTGGTGACCGTGGAGGTACCTAGGTACCCAGACAGTAGTACTGTAGAGGAACGGCTGGAATAAGAACTTAGGTACAGTATCTACCCCACACAAACACTTGCAGGTTGCAGCTGATTGCAGGGATCTGCATCCAAGCCACCAAGCATAATAAAGCGCAAGGGTCGTTTTGGTGGTCTGTCAGTCTGTCACATGTCTCTTGGTTTGCAGAAAGCACATGCACTCAACTCACTTACTGATGTACTCGTGAATTTCGACTCTCCCGTACACAGACAGCATCAACACCACCACCACTACCACCACCACCCTCAGTAGACATCTTCCGACCTTCAACATCATCACGATTCGATTAATTTTGACCTTTCAAGGCACGGCTCTCACTAGGCTATCGGCCTTTGTACAGAATCACAATTCTCTTCCAGCCTCTCTCCACGCAGCATTTCCTCACTTTCGCACGCAGATCCACATCATCGCAAACCCTCTCTCTACTATCTCGCACTTTCAGCATTTACCCACATATGGACTCGCACCCATAACATAACTACGAATCTGATTTGGGCCAGTAAAGCCAAATTAAAGCACTACAGACTAGGCTTTTGTTGATGGAGACCGGTGGAAAGTTCTGTTTGACCTCGGCGAGTCCCAGAGCCGAGCAAAGATCAACAAGGCCTTATGTTCTGCAGTCTCACTGAAAGACACCGGTTTCCCTCATCGCAGAACCTATAATGTCCTCCCCTGAACAGTCTTCTCCTCCACTCGATGCCGCAAACAACGGCAATCCCCAGGACGACAAGCCCCGGTTGACCGAGGAGCAGAAACGGCAGAACCACATCTCCTCAGGTACGTGTCTCCGGCGGGCACTACAGACTCCCCACCCAGCCCATAGTCCGGCGAGATGCTAAGTGAATGAACAGAGCAGAAGCGCCGCCAAGCAATCCGCGACGGGTTCGACAAGGTCGCCTCCCTCGTGCCTGGTCTCGAGGGGCAGGGCCGTTCCGAGGGCCACGTCTTGAACGTGACGGTCCAGTTCATCCTGGAGAAGATCGAGGAGCGACGCCAGCTTGTCGAGCAGATCGAAGCGCGGGGCGGTGTAGTCTCCGATGAACTAAAGCAGTGAGTTATGAGTTGCCTCCTTGTTACCCACTCTCTTTCGGCCATTTGATACGACACGACACGGGGATGGCTGACCGGGATTATTACTTAGACCGCTTCGTGTCGACCTGAACAAGGTGAATCTCGAGCATTTGCAACAGCAACGCAGCGGCAGCGGTAGTGGGTCCTGAGCCGACCTTGTGCGGTGCATGAAAATAACCAAGACACCACCTCCCATTGCGAGCCGATCACATATGTCCAGGGCGAGCTCGCGTGGCAACGCGACACGGCCACGGGGTACGTGACGAGATATGCGGCGCGTCACTTGCGCGTGAGCGCATCAAGCGGTATGACGAATGGTCTACCCTCATACAGGAGGACGTGATTACGACACCGTATGTCCGCAGCATGTGGAGTGGGACAGCACCCGCTGGGGACCCTGCTAAGCTAAGGGGCATCGTCATGTGGGAGAGCTTGCTATAAAGAGCTCACGCGTGATTTAGAGCCTCGTCAAGTGTGGGGGGTATAGACTAATGGCTCGTTCAATAGGAACGTGGGTCAGTTCGAAGGATGGACCCGTAGACGGGTGACAAGCGCTGCTCAGACGAGCGTAGATGGTCGGGAAGGAGTGTGTCATGTATGGAACCTGCTTCCGCAGAGGATGAACAGACTAGGGCAAATACCCCCGGGGAAATAGATCAAACCCAGCCAGATGTGCTGCTTCTGCACATCACACATTAACAGGTTACTACCGACCCCTGTGCAGCCCGGACAGTGCTCTCTTCTCTTCTATGTTCGACCACCAGTGGAGAAGAGCGAGATAGAGGCGAAAAGAACATGAAGAGAAAGGGGACTGGGGAACAGGAAGAAGAAGAAAAATACCGAATGCAGAAATAAAACCTATGTTTACCAAGCACGGGGATTGGACCGTGGTCTCCTTCCGCTTCTCACCCACCGCCCCGCGGAAACATACATTGACCTGACTTCGGCCGGTAGACATAACCGGTGCGCTAGTACGGATTTCAATAGATGGTGTGTTTGCGTTGTTTACGAGGTACAAGCGGTCTTACTGCAGATTCGGTGACCGAGCTACCTCTCGTGTAAAGTAATGTATAATTTGTACCTCAGGTCGCGGTGCACACGATAAACCACTGAACTGCATTGTGTCTCGCATTGTAAGATATGCCCAATGAAACTAATCCTTGAAATTCCCCAATCATATGCCCAAACCCGTTAACCGCGCCAATGCGTTCCCGTGAATAACAAATACGCTCCATGTAGCCCTCGATCGAGAAAGTATCGGGCCTATGATGACCAGTCTATCCTGTAGAGGCCGAGGGATGGAACCATAGCGGCAGAATAATCCGCGCAGTTGCCCTCATCTCAACTCCTCCAGACCATTATTTCCTGCCTCGCCTGCAAGCATACATGTCCACATGATGCCCGAGGTGAGGCACCACTGTTGAGAACCGAGGTTCATCCGTCGCATGGTCTCCAACTACCCCGTCTCTTTCATGACGGCTTCGGTATCCGCAGCGGATGTGCCTCAGTGTTGAGCACGTAGTCATCCAGGCTCATCAGGTCCGGCTCCGAGAAGATGAGGTAGAAGTACTTGAGGGTCTCGGCCAGCCAGAAGCTCTCCATCGAGTCGAGCTTCTTGGGCGTGTTCCCCCTCGTGACGTCCTCGATGGCCGAGTGCGCGTACTTCGTCTCGGTGACCCGCCGGATGGACTCGAACATGCCCCAGGCCGTGTCCTGCCAGGCCGGGTCGCCCGTGATGCGGTACAGGTAGAAGACGCTCTCGATGGCCTCGGGCCGCAGCATGTAGCCCGGGGCGTGCACGCTGGAGAAGCCCTTGGGGAGCCGGTTGCTGCCCGACTTGGACCACCGCCCCTCCTCCCACTCGCACCTGGCCAGGTTCGCCCCCTTGCAGGGGACCAGCGTGAACTCCTCGGGCATGACGCCCGTGGGCATCGACGCGTACGCCCACGCGCAGCCGCGGGCGAGCTTCGCGCCGATGTCGAGGTCCTCCGCTATGTCGAAGAGCTTCCCGCCGAGGGCGAACATGCCCCCGACGAAGCAGGTCAGGTGCTGGCCCTGCGGCATGAGGTCGATGATGCCGTTGCCGTTGGAGAGCACGGTGCCCGAGAAGAGTATGTCCGTCTCCTCGTCCGGCACCATGGGGCGGAACAGGAGGAACGCCTTGGCCGTGTCCATGGCCTTGACGTACATCTCCCGGTAGGAGTCGTCCAGGCCGCCCAGGAGGGCGTACATCTTGGGCAGGTACTCGTACAGGGAGTCGGCCATGGAGCCGAGCGTGAAGGAGTTGTCGGGCGTCAGGAAGCCGTTCTGGACGTCCACGAAGGTCGGCCACATGCCCGGCAGCTTGGTGCCGTCTTGTGTCTTCTGCAGCTCCCTCTTGACCCTGCTGATGGCGTCGAAGAACTTGGGGTCGCCCGTCAGCTGCGAGAGCCTCGTGAACTCCAAAGACAGGCTCCCGACGTTGGCGGAGATCTCCCGCGTCGAGGGCATGAGCAGGCTCTCCTTGGCCCTCTCGAAGTGGAACGAGTTGGCGGGCATGCGGTTGGGCGTGTCGAAGGCGTTGAAGAGCATGTTCCCCAGCTCGGTGGCCTTGCGCAGGAGCACCGCCTCGTTGCTGAGGTCGTAGGCGGCCAGCAGCCCGCCCAGGTACCGGATGTTGGTCTCGAAGAGGCTGCAGATCTCGTGGTCCCCGTGGTTGTCCCAGTCTATGCCCACGACGTGGTGGACGGCCTCGGTGAACTCCTCGTGCATGTCCATGACATAGAGGGCGTCGAGCGAGTCGACCAGCGTGGCGCCCCACCCGGAGAAGGAGTCGGCGCCCCTCAGGGAGATGGGCGTGAGCTCGTCGTAGCCCCATGCGTGTTTCCTGTAGCTGTTCCAGCACTTCTTGAAGGTCTTCTTGACCTCACTCCTGCGCGACTCCTGCACGCCCTCGTTCTTCTCAAAGTCATATTGTATCTTGGCTAACCGGTGTGGCGGCTGCTTGGGGAGTTTCTCGTATGAATGCACGGGGTATCTCTGTTTCCGACGCGCCCAGTCGAAACTGCTGCGGACATAGGCGTAAGGATGATTTATGTAGACGGCAAGGGGAGCCTTGAACTCGAGGCGGTCGGATAGGGTATAGAACGATATAAGCAGCACAAACGCCACGAAAACGACCAGCCGGAGCGGCTTACGGTGTGTGCTCATGATAGGCATTGTCTAGCAACACACCACGAGGGGAAGCATGTGATGAACGAACGATATTAACGATAGTCGTGAAGAGGTCCCCAAAGAAACACACACAAAAAGAGAGATCGAGAGAGAGGAGGGAGGACAGTTGATGAGCTTATGGAACAAGATAGAGGAGAGATGGGCAGTTCCCTCAACTGATCAACCCTCAACAAGACCTACTGCAGTGTACATCAATCCCCAGGACCCTTGTCACATCACATAACGGTTGACAGATCAACAGTGCTATGAGCTGTTTGCTGTCCCGTCAATTCAGGCCGAGCAGGGATGACCAGTTCCCTTGGAAGGTAGCCTTGGAAGGCCACCCAAGGCTTCTTGAAGGTCATTGATCCTCTTCCAATGTCTGGCCCACCGGCGAGACAGACGATCGACAACATGTCACAGTCTTTCCTTGGCTAACCCCTATGCACAGTCAGTTGGACGGTCCACCTCGGGTTCGAAGGGGGGAGCCTACCTCGAAGGAAAGAAGCTTACTGCGCGGTACCATACGGATGCGTACAGCCTACCAAGGTACCTACCTAGGTAGTTAGTGTTAGATTAGAGATGAGCCCACAGGTTTCTCTGAAACTGGGGAGG